GCTGACTTTTTCACACTTTTGAAGCACACTAAGTTTTAAGGCAGAATGAAATGAAGAGCTGTGATAATAAAGAATGAGTGAAGACTTTCATGAATTTACAAAGCATAAGTTGACGTAATTGCTTGTAGGAGTGTTTTTCAGATAAAATTATGTTGTGTCACATGATACGCTGTCGATGAATATTTTACTTGAAGGTTGCACATGTGAAGTGGATATTTCGCGATCAATTGCTGTGCGAATTCTGTACTGTGTGCTAATATTTTGTGCACAATAGAGCTGTTGTGATTTTTATTATCATTATTGATATTAAATGAGAATGTATGGAATTCAACAATCATTGATTAACTTTCTAACTACTGCATTGGAATTCTCTTCTACACACACGCTAGCAAGTAGTCGCCTAATTGGAAATCCAAGGTCAACTCTTTAGGCTGACGATTTATTGATCAACGTTTTTAATTTATTTCTAGAAATTAGCGTAGTGTGCTATTCACGACAGCGCATGATTGATTGTTTGATGTGGTTCTAACTTTCTGTTATTCTTATTGTTAACTCGGTGATGTTGTTCTGTAATTCAATTTAATTTCTACATAATGTAAGATGATTTTAGTTTTACATGTCACTGAAAATAGTTTATCCTTGAACTGGAGTGTAAATTATCCATGTTAGAACATTATTTATTGTCTTACAAGTTTGCACTATTATGTACAGAGAATAGTACATTCCATTTCACGTGATTGTGATGCAAACCTACAAGGCGGCATTATTTTCCATGAGTTTGAGGAGAACCACAGTCCAGAGTTCTCGTGTTCAATTTCTTTAATTACCAGCCGAAACAGTACTGATTTGGACGAATGTCTTAATCTGTGCACCATGAATAATTCAACTGGTGGAATTCGGCCGGGACTAGATAACATGACTGCGATCACTGTGTTGTAGAAGTATGCAATTCTGTGTTTATGTATATTTGGTGTTACTGATTGAAAACCAAGACTCTTCACTTTAGTTACAGAAAAATAGGAACGAGTATCCCGGTAGATTGAAGAAGAGTGAGACAGAGGGAGAGAGAGGGAGCTCCGTATACAGTCCACCCTCTAGTTATCACATCAATTTATCGATTTCCCTTGCTTTCTACCGACTTCATTAGTTGACTGAATTCCTCTATACGTCATTCTAATTTATCAAATACAGTACATTGAAATATGTGATTCATTATGAAGAATTGGCTGTAACAGAAGACAAGTATAATGATCACTGTTGTTATAGTTGTCATTGTTATGTCGTGTGAATACTGTGTGTATGTGTATGTGTATAGAGGTCACCATGGAGGGATGAAGCGTATAAGCTGAATAAATGTGTGAGTTGGTGTACTTAGTATTCAGTTATCTCTGACATGAATGATCACTCATAAACCCGTTAAAATTGCGTTGAATATTGCTTGTATGCGAAATGAATTGCTGTCGTACTAATAGATGAATTTCTAAGGCCAGTTTACGTATAATATTTAATCTTCAATTCTGGTGTCTTTTTATATAGACTTTTCACAGCTGATGTAATAACAGGAAGTATACTTTGCTTTAGATATTGAAACAAATACTGAAAATTTGTCACTGTGTATATATATAGGTTTTACAATTACAGTGAAATGTTGATCCGTTTTGGCAGCCGGGTGTTGTAGCAGGCCAACTGCATCGGCCAATAAACCGGACGCCTCTCATTTGAATCTTACTCAGATTTTCACTTCACCTTAAAGCATTACCCATTATGGAAAATTAATCACAAGGCAATAAGTAAGAGGCAAAAGACGTGTTGGTTTTGAAAAGTATATGATTGTGGGGAATCAGTAGGAATCCTTTGATTTCAATTTGATATTTACTGGTGTTAACCTGTCAGCAAGTCATATTAACAATAATATAAGAAGTGGTTTACCCTCAGAGAGTAGAGCCTGCGTCCACATTTTATCTCCTTTACTCACCTACCATCTTAGTGCAGGGTGTTTCAAAGGTATCTCTGCCTATTTGACACTAGACGAATCCTTGGAAGACACCAAGACCGAGCTACAAATTACCTGTCTTTTCCGTGATCTTGAGTAGACCCATGATTCTTCTGAAATTCAAAATTGAATTCACACTTCCTACATATCTGCTTCCAACATGTGGGACAGCAGAACTGAACGTCCAGTACAGTTTACAGCAGTGTTATTTTACTTATTTTAACGATCATTTTAGACACACCGTATGCATAACTCATGGATTAGTGCTAAGAATTAGACACCTCCTTGGCTAAGGCTTGAATTATTCTTCAAACGTGTTTCTCACCTGATGATGATGATAATGGTGATGATATGCCCGCTACTATTACTCACAGAAATCTCGGTTACTGCATGACTGAATGGAGGCGCTTCAGATTATCACTTGAGTTTCTACCAGTTAGCTTACGAAATGTAATTGCCATCACTTGTTTTAGTGTTGCTTCAACTATCCTGAATTTAGTGTACGTGAAGTGTGAATGACAAACACTGAAGTCAGTTTGTCGCCACATTTCACTGGTCAGATATTTAATGTTATATGCTGCAGTCAGTACATGGATAGTGAATTATTGTGAAGACTTTTACATCGAGTTCTCTTGTGAAGTTTGTCTTTTGTTAAAAACAATCACAAAAAGACATTTATTAATATCAACAGAAAAGGCATTTGTTTACATATTTTTCATAGTAATAGCATGTACTACTAACTGCTGGTAAGTAAGAGAAAGAGTAACGACGAAAAACGGTCTTCGCAAATCAACACACTCAAGTTAGTCAACCTGGTGCAAATACTAAGCCTAATTGACAATCTTACTTAATCTCAGGTTTACGACCACAGGAGAAATTTATTTTGCAGTATTCTAAACAGTCACTTGATGAAACGGGGATCAACATGTGTAGGGGACTAACAACTGGAAGTGGTGAAGATGTAAGCACACAAATTCATGTTGGTTCACTCTCCGGTGGAATTGTGAGTGCATTCTGATGAAGACTCCCAGACTAGGAGAAATCAACTGTCCAGCACTCCTTAGTTTTCAATGTTTCTTTAGTCGACCTCAACCCGTGATGAGACTGGAAGGGAGTGAAACTTACATTGAATAATTTGCAGTGTATAAAATGAATCAATACTGCTTGTATTCTTCTATTTAAACATCTCTCTGGTTTCCCATTTTCATTACTCATGCTTCGAGACGGTAAGTACACCTTGTTGACTACTGCCAGTAACCGAGATACTTTGATTGGATACTACCATGGTGGCCACATTGTGAGCTTGATTGACAGAAGTCAGTGTGCAGTCAAATAAAGGAGTAGATGCATAACACTAGTTGTTGTCCAATCAAATTATCTAATACAGTCCTACAAGAGGTGAATCGCGAGGCCAAACAACTCAGTGGTACCATCTGTGACTGGAGCACTGGGTGACACGGTTTCAAATCTCAGAGTGGTTTTGAGTTTCTTGAAGATTGCACACATACCTTGCTGAGTACTGCCAAGAAGCATGAAACGTAGGTCGAAGGCTTACTCAAGATTGTCTCCAACTTTAAGTCTATCCTATGTTTATATGAACGCTTTAAAGAGAAAACCACTAATTCGTCTGTTTTCATGGCAAAGTGTAGTGCAGTTATATGGTGATGACACTTATCCTTGTGGAGAAACTTGTAAACGAATGCCTTCTAAGACTCATGGCCATTTGTGATAAACTCCACACTGAAATAACCTTAAGAATGACGGAACTGTTGTTTCGCACATTTCATTTCATCAGTTTCACAACACCAAAAGCAGGTGTCAGTTTTAGGTGAACGAATCATCAGAGATGGATTTTGGATGCACGTCATTGGTTCATTGATAGAATGTTCGCCAGTCACGCACGTGCTTTGTGGTTCGGTTCCCAGGTGACGTACTCCTAAACCTCACCTAGTTGAGTAGTCAGTAGTAAACCAGAAGAAGAGGAATGATTGGGCGTTAAATTAACACCAGCCTCCTTGAAACTTGCGGGCTTAAAGCACGAGATATTATGTTCCGCTCCAAATTGCAAAGAATGTTAATTAATGTTTGCAAGGATTAACTAGTATTCATCAATCAATATTACAGCAATCCCTTTTTTAATATGTATATTGAAGGCATTCTTTGTCATCGTTTTTCATTCCTTCCGTTCTGAGTATAACATAGAACTCAAAACCCTTGATGTTTCAGTAATGCTGATGATGATTTTACGGAGTAGGATCGTCTGTCTCATACCCAGTCTTTATTGTTTCATAGGCCGTCTGTCGGTTTAAATATGTATTGGCCATGAATGGTGTCCGAACCTTACGCACTTGGCTGGCGAGCATTCTACCAATGAACTAGGGACTTTATATTGTCTTTTTTTCAAGTTATATTTGATAAAGTGCAAGTTAATTTTATTCGTGTAAGGTAGTAGGCTAAATAACCTGTGCTACCCAATATACCAGATGTCTTGAGAAGAGTTTGTATTCTTCTTGAGGTGTTCATAAAAGTGGCTTTGTTAAACGTCCAACAAATTACTTACTTTTAAACAGGATCACAGTTTCATGCCATTTTCAAATGGTGGCGAAATCGCAAGGATTTCATGATGACATCTAAAATGATCATTTTAGACTGCAATTGAAATGCTTTCAAAGATCTGCAAATTACAATATTCAAAACCGTGTCTTCCACACGGAGTGACTATCTTTGATATGCAACATTTCCCAATCTTCTTCTTCCTTTCCTTCCTGACGCTTCTGTTGAGAATATTGTTTGACAACTTTTTCGAATAACTATTTTCAATCAATATTTATTTTGTATTCGATATCTTTTAGAGTCTTCTTGCTTCCTATTCACGGTTCGTCTCACTATCTAGTCAAGCATAATCGAGCATGTCATGAGTGATAGTAGACAACCCTGTCTTACTCACGTCTTCACTTGAAATCTTTGCCAATAAACAACATTTTCTTTCGTTTTGTTTCATTCCAAGTTTAATTGCAGAGAAACTAGCTGAATTGCACTGTTTACCTATAGATGAATTCAAATCGCCTAACGAACTATACGGAGCAGAGGTAGAACCAAGAATATTTTCAAGAATACTACAATGGATAAACAGATTACAAGATGATTTTATAAACTCATCAAGAAAATCACAGAAGTAAGATTTACTAAAAGTTATCCCTTTATAAAATATTTAACCAAGCCATTCATTGTAGACTTGTAAAGAATGCTGACAGTTAAACTAATATTTAGTGAATAACGCTTCGGTGTTTAAAAAAAAGTATACTAGGTTCGAGTCTAAGTGGGGTACTATTACTTACCAGGGATTGCTGGTATAACCAGTTGATGGGTCGCAGCTAGGACGAAACGACCTTTCTCGATTTCACTGTTAATCAACCTTCACCAAATAACATCATTGTTAGTTCTCACACATGGTGGAACACTCTCTACTAGGAGTCAACATGTCAAATCTACTGATTGATCTATATTTAGTTTAGATAATTTTTAAAATATCTCTTTTCGAATTTAACATCGTTATCACGAGGTACTAATAACGGGTATTTTAAGATTACATACCACAGACTGACAGAACAATGCAGGTTAATAACGTCAACATTCGTTATACACATTATCATTAAAATGTATGATTTCCAGGAGTTCATAATTCAGACAACGGATGATAACCTGTAATTCTGTTTTTTTTTTATTAATGACTATGGTTTACCACTTAAGTTTGTATGCGTTGTTGGTTCACTACTACAACGCCATCCAATCACACCACACACACAATCCATATTCGATTTCTCGAACACTGTATTCTAAAATTTCCAGAGAATAAGGAAGACTGGTCATAAGGCTAGCAACACAATATCGATACTGAAAATTCAAAACCTCAAAGCTCCGTGTTCCACTGGGGAACGCAGAGGAGTGAATAAAAAAGTTTGTGATGTGGCGATTAAGCTTGTTGACAGGGTCTTGACTTCATGTCAAGGCTGGAAAGTTTATACATAAGCTGATTAAGGGACAACTAGAGCTTTGAACAAATGAAATGGTTGTATACAAAAACTGAAAGTTGAAATGTTAATCAGCCTGCTAACATCATTCTTTATTTTTATGGCGATCGTAGTTTGTATATAGTTGTGGTAAGATCTATGAATTCACTGGCGACTGACACAAATTACGATCTTTAGTTGAACTTCGCCAATAAACATCACTATGCACGAAACCCAAGTGCACCTTTTAATTCATCTGAGCTTATAGTTCAAATTTAACAGTATTTATTCAACTTTTATTCTTATTTATTCTAGCTATGAATCGATTTTTCCAAGTAAAGCTTATGCTTTGAATGAGATGTACAAAATAAAACAGCAGTATATTGCAAATCCTATATCCAAGATAGTCTTATGTCATAATGATTTGAATGCAGCAAATATTATACTAGCACCAGATGAAAGTAAGTTTGAAAGATGATCAAGACTAAATGAATAATCAGGTTCATTTATTAGAATTATTATTCCCTTAGGTTACAAGTGGAACATACGGTTTCAACAGCACATCTCCACTTCATCCGGTTCTCTGCACTTCTTTTCAACTGGCTCCACAATTGCTCATAAACACTCATATCTCCTGCTCAAATGATCTTCTTCATTTCACCCTCAGACGTCAAACTCACCGTTTCTCATTCGAATGCCATACAAGAGCCTGGTGCGCAGTGTCACTGAACGGTCTCCTCAGTGTGTGTCCAGTCTATTCCCATCGAAATATTTGCTAGGCAATAGGTTGTTTCTATGTTCACAATACCTACTGTCTGGCTATCTGATCTTCAGCGCTGAAGCGCAAGCAGCTGTTGGTGACAGTCTAATGCCAGTTATAAATGCCTTCGGCGACAAGTCAAGCCCGTGAACCCTATAGAATAATTGACATGACATCAGTGTTTAAATTCTGAATCTTCTTCTTTATACCGAGTGCAGTAGATTTCCACACTGATTGCAAATTAATGAAGGTCTGTCCTGCCATTAAGATCCTCAAAGACGTTGATATCCTCATCTATGCTACCTGTAGTTGAAAGGACGCCGCCTAAGCAAGTGGAAGCGTTGACCTCCTTCAGATTTATCCTGTTGATTGTGATTGGCGTTTGTTATTTTTGGTAAGGTGACTTCATTACATAGATCTAATTGATGATTGTACTTTCTGTACTTGTCAGATCCCTGCAAACCAACACTTGAATATCAATCTGACGCTCACTAGTGACTGGCACTATTCATTTACGTAGTTAACTGGGTAGTTTCTAGTGAGAAGTCGTGACCAGTGGGGTACAGCAGGTCGGTTGTGAGCACAAATACTCGCCACTGATGACATTCTCTAGTGGTTGCACCATATCATGAATTGGCAGAAGTTGGAATTCATCGACCATCGGATGGGGTCCTAGTGGCCTAAAACTCTACGAGCTGGCCTTGTAACCAGAAGGTCCTGGGTTCGGACCTCAGTTGATGCGTACTGATGAAGAGTCTCAAACAAGGGAGAAATAGATAACCGTCCAATAATCCCAGTTGGTTTTCCAACGGCTCTTTAACCGATGTTAGTTCATGATGAAATCGTGAAACTAATCAAATTCCCGCGAATCAAAAGTTGTCAGATGTGTTTCAGGTTGATTAACCATCTTCCTTCAACCTGTAAGTGAATAATTCAATCTGATTCTTTCATTTTCTTTACCAAATAAAATTTCAGATTACAGAATAATTCGATTTTTTTTGTATTCACTGTGCCTTGTTCCCTACTGCTTAGTGTCTTTCTTATTTATTACTTGTTTTTATGATAGATTCAATTCATCTAATAGATATGGAGTATTGTGATTTAAATTATGCAGCATTTGATATTGGTAATCATTTCTGTGAATTTACAGGTTAGTCACCATAATAACGATAATTTAATATTACTTTTTGTTCATAAATATAATTCGGAATTTCTGATTTCAACTGTGTGTAGTGTAGAAGTTCTAAAATTCGATTTTGATATTTAATTTGTTTTAAATATAGTTGAATTCAGAAAAATCCAGTGATATGAACTGTTCATTGTGAATAACTTGGCATGTGGCCTGACCAGATATAGTTGTTAAATTAGGTTGATGAAGGTACTCCAAAGTGTTGAGGCAGTTCCTACATTAATTTAGAATCAATGCTGGTGAAGGTTTTTCCAAAATGGATGAAGCACGAGTAAGGGGTTGAGTTCCATGATATTGGTTTTCACATAGTTTACTTATCTTGAATCGAGCTTATTCCGGGCGGAGATTTGTATTCAGAGCATCTTTTAGTCTCTCCAGGATAGTGAAGCCTAATATTTTGCTTGACGTGGAAAAGAGCATGACACAGAACCAGTACTTGAAGAGGCTTAAGTCGCCCTTTCTTCTAGTCAGTACTTACCTTTTCTTTTCTCCAAGCTCTTTGTAATTGTGGGGTGAGGATATCTGCTGAGATCTCTGAATCCGCTTTCAGCTCTGCTGGGGGAATTATTAGTAGAAGCATATGTCTGAAGAAATATGACAAAATCTCTTCGTGTGTAAATGTTGGTGATAGAGCAGTTCTGTTACAGACACGCATACAATAAAGTATAAACATTTAAGCTGTAGAGTAAACTGTATAATTTAGTGATGAATTGACTTAATTGACATTAAGTGATTCAAAATAGGCATATCATAAGAAAGATGGATTTGTTCAAGATCACCAGTAAACCCTACTGATGAATATTAACAAGCTATTGTGTACAAATGCAGTCCACCTCGATAGTATATCGATTGGGATATTGACTACCTATGTATTAGTCGGACAAAAGACCAGTCAGATTCTACTACGTCAAACACCGTTTCTACCTGACAACAGAATCATAATAACTTAAGTAAACAGTGGAAGTAAATCACATCATAGAATTTCATGAATACTTAAAGCATTCAAGCTGTAATATACATCTATCTGATAGCGTAAACACCTTAAAAAGACTACAAATGCCTAACGAAATGTCCTATCCGTTGACACTGGTAACTGTAAACTAATTACACCAGCTAACAATGCTCAGTAATTTCGCCCACGGTAATTTGATTTTGTTTTATACAATTAAACCTCTCAATCAGTCTGTTATGGAGTATCTTGAAGGATATGACTTCATAAACTGTATTATTCAAGTCACCATTCAACATCTCTTCAAAACTTCTCAATAGTACAACCGATTATTTAAATTATTTTTGGTTTTCTCGTTGATTGATTGGACCGAAATGTTTGTCTACTGTTGACATGTTGACTCCCAGAACGGATGCTTCAACGATGTATAAGGATTAGCATGTTGTTGTTTGTGCGGATGGTGACTAGCGTTTGGAATCCGGGACGTTCATTTAAACCTTAATGGGACTCGTCACTCAGATGAATCCGCATTCCCCAGTGATCGCTAGTGTTCCTACAGAGACTAGAACCCAGTATACTTTGTTGTAAACACCAGTGTGTTATCCACTAAACTGATTGGGTGACAAGAGCTCTGAAACGAAGGGCACTGAGTTCGAATTTCAGTGAGAACCATACCATTTAATGAGGATTGCAGGTACATTCATCTTATGAGTAGTAAATAGGACGAAATCTGAATCATGGCTTCCACTGTTAGTCACCATCCACCAAAGTATAACCCATTGTTTAAGTAACACCTACTCAACTAGTTTGCCGGGGATTGGCTGACGTGAATGGCATACAACTACTCATATTTATATGCACTATAGTAGTTCATGCTGGGCAACTCTTATGTTTACAATTTTGGTAGCTTATGATAATATCAGACGGTTAATATATTTTGGTTTACGCTTTCAGAAGAAACTATGATGACATTTTATCTAATTAACTGTATGATTCTTGTTCCCAATTTTTATATCTTGATTGTTTTGTTTTCTTTATTTTTTTTTCTTTGCTTATTGCATAACGATTGTGTTCTTAGGACCATATGCTTTGGAATTTGATAAATATCCATCCCTTGAGTTTCAGAAAAGATGGATGAAAGTGTATTTATCAGCTTATCGTGAATATTTTAGACGTAAATCAAATCTAAAACATAATGACGATGATGATGCTGAATTGAGTGTGTATACTGAAGATTGCTTAGAAATATGGCTTAAAGAAGTAAATTGTTTTGCTTTGGTAAGATATATTATCAAGTTATTTATTCTAGTTTCCTTGTTTTGACTACATGGAGAAATAGACTGACGATAAATATTCTGTATATCGAATGGCAGTTGATATAGTTCATTGTGAAAACTGGAATTTATACAGATGAACTGTTAAATTCTATATCTGACTGAGAGTTCAGACGGTCTTGAACATATTTTGGTATGAAGTTATATGTAAACACTACTGAAAAGTCCTGAACTAGACGAAAATGTCTGTTATATGCTCCTTGTTTTTCGATGTTCATTTAATATTGATGTCAACTTCATATAAATACTGTTTCATTCTTTTGAGTTCCGGGTGCGACATATAACTTCTAGTTTGAGCTATGAAGCGGTGGTGTTTATTTCTTACGAGGTGAGGTTCCTGGACTCACACCCAACCTTCCTACAGTACCGGACTTACTACTATCTGAGCGAGATTTAGAAGTGCGTCGACCGGAAATCAAACCCTCGACCACGTCAGCTATGGTTGATGAGTATTCTGCCACCGAGTCGCCTACACCAGAAGTGGTAATTGATGAAATTCTGAACCTTATCCTGAGGTGTTGAGCCAGTATGGAGAGTGAAATAAATCAAATTACTCTTTCACATTTACTCTATGATGGTAAATGAATTTGAAAAACAAAGCCTGAACCACAACTACTTGGAAATAAGTGGACACTATAATCAAATACCTTTGTGGTCTACTCCAAGTGATATTCACAACCAATCAGCATCTAACTCGATAATAGGACATTATCAGTTTGAGGTTTCACAATACCTACTAATATAACTGAGAATTAAAATAAAACTGGATTTTGGGTTCAGTGGGCAACTCGACTGAGAACCGGAACGACGATTATCATGCAATGCCTACACCTGCACTCAGCTGAGAAAAAACCACAAAGTAAAACTGTTCAGAACCAAGAAGACTGACAGCTTTTTTAGACAAAAGATGAATTACGAATGCTCGTAAAATTGTACCTGTATTAGTGGTTATATAACTAATTTTATTGGTGAAAAGTTGTCCAATCAACTTCCCACAAAATCTTATGCTTCAACAGCCAATGGCTTAAGTTGTCGATTCTAGTCGAAGACGGTTTAAACCCGCAAAATATATGTCTATTTAAAGGTTAAGCCAAATCAGGGTTAAACAACATTTACAAAATCTGGGTAAAAGGTTAAATACATCCAAGAGATGGTATTGTAACAAAAGAAGACAAGGGTCAAGTAACAGATCGTTTATTAAGAAAATCAAGAGATATTTATAGACTTTATGTACATTATTATTAGCGTTGTTAGCAGAGAAGCAACGCCTTCTGATTGGTTGTTTTCTTGCTGAAGGTTATTTTGTACCGCTTGTGACCGTTTCTTACAAGTTATCCATATATCTGCGAATCGTATTTGCACACGTTAAGTTTGCTGTGATTGGTTGTTGAGTTACTCAAGGTTAGGCGTTGTTATTGTTTTTTTCTCATGACCACGATTCGGGAAGTGAATTGTTGTCTGCAATTTTGGCTTGCAGACAGCTCTCACCACAGTATTACTGGATATTATTCATTTCTCATTTCTATCAATAAAGTGACATTTTCGCTTTTTCCACTCTTACAAAAGTAAAATCAATTGAAATTTATTGTTCAAATTACTTTGAAGCATTTTTACCATAGATTAAAAACTTCCACATAATAATAATAATATTATTATTATCATTATTGTTAAAACACAAGCTTAGTACATTACGGGCACCAACATGCATCACACAAAATCTCGTACTCTGTCTGTTGGGGCTGTGATACTACCCGGATGCCCAGAGAAAAGTAGATTTATTTTGTTTTTTATTTTGATTACAGCTTGATTCCACACCGTATTTTCAGTACAAGTATGGAATTTTCAGCATGGATATCCGTAGCCCAAATTCTGCAGGCTGACCATAGATATCGGGTGTGCGCCGGCAGGGGATCGAACTCCGGACCATGTGCATGGTCGGCAAGAGTCCTAACCACTGTGCCACCGACGCCTTGAGAGGACAATCTTCCTGGTGAAACTTTGACTTGAAATTTGATCCACAAGTCAATGGAGCAACGTCAGGAGCTACGTTCCTATGGTTCCAGATGATCAAAACAGGTTCATACGCCACTCGGTCCTTTCGGATTCTAGAGCACACATACACCATGGATTCGGAATCAGGGTTAACCAGCTACCCTTGGTAGACCAGTGTATTCACTAGTCTAGATGTAGGTGAGTTACGTTCGCATTCACCACCGCGTGAATAGGACTCACCTGGCGACACGGGCTATGAATTCGTGTAGGACACATAAGGGCATTTCAAGAGGAACACAGAAGTCTAACCACCCTCGGCTGTATCAGGTCGAATGATGTGAGAAAGATCCAGAAATATATTAACCTATCATCTAATGAATAAGAAATACACGCTTGTTTCCTTTTTCCTTCACTTTTAGCTTTCTAATTTATTTTGGGCTATCTGGGCAGTGATTTGTGCAGCAGAGAATTTAACCTCAATGGACTATTTAGCGTAAGTTGTTCAAACTTGAAAGACCTTCTAAAAAGAATAATTAGGATAATGAAAATTATTCAATTTGTTCGTATTATCTGGATACTATTACATATAATATATCAATGTTCTTATTGAGATTCTACTGCATTATTTTGTAAAAGACAATCTCTATTATCCTAAAATCGAACACGAATACACAAGACGTGGTCATGATAGTGGGACCTTAAGTACTACTCTCCTAATGACTAACTAACCGAGTTTCAACACAACTTAACGCAGAAGTACATCAGATCAAGTTCCCACACTTCACATAGTACATAAAGACAGAGAAAAGAAGTTCAAAAATAATTTGAGAAAGAACATTAACATGGAAAAACATTAGAGGTTAACAGATATGCTAGATCCCGAAGGGTGAGTGTATCTGGGCCACTGAGGACAGTTTTGGATCACCCATAGTCTTCAGTCAAGGAAGGCAATGACTCCAAATGAGTGACATATATTCTAGCCATCTAAATCGATTCTCCTTCATAACCTTATCGATTGAATTACTCAACTTACCTAACATTCAACGCCTAACCTCAATACTATTCACCGTATTATATCATTTTACAAGAGAAATAGAACGCAAACGTATGTGGTCAAAAGCAGCTAGCCTTCTACATATCTTCCACTTTCAGTGGCCATAAAGGAGGATAGAGAGAACTGTCGCATATTACACAGGTTCATCATTGATGGACAACCGGATATCACGTCTACGGCAAGGTTAGCATATGCCATGTGACTCCTTGTATTTATGCTGAGATTTCATCAACAACCAATCCATTATGGTTGATGCAACTTCTGAAATACATGGATTAATTGTGACACGATAAGAGCATGTTACTCAATATGAAATCTATACACTTCACATCAGGCGTAATAGTAGGGTAGGGATAAAAGTTTACATGTAACAGAGTCACATTAAGTACTTCTTAATCATTTTCCTGTTACCTTAATTACGCAAAATAACTGTATTCAGATACTACTCTTATGTGGATAATAAACAAAGGAACATTAAATTTACCATATTTCTTTAAAAGAAAAGGCGTTCAGTCAAGAGTTGCTATTTTCAGCGATTTCATTCTCAAGCTGTAAGATCGCATATATATATATATATATATATATATATATATATATAGCAAATTTTCTTAACAACAAAAGGAATATTTCCAAAGATGTGTCATTAGAATTACAAATTTTAGATAACAAATTACGTGATGTAGAAAGCGTTAATCGAGCAGAAACTAAGACGAAATCAATTAAGTAGGTTGAGTGACGTGATATATTTCAAGAGGTTAAGTACATTTTATTGCTTTACGTTCCGAGTGGAACATAGGGCTTCAAGCTAGAACTTTGAAGTTTCGGTAGCAGTGGTTGTATTTATACGGGGCGGGGTTGCTAGCCTCACGCCCAACCTTCCCTCTTTATCGGCCTAACTACCGCCTCGACGAGGTTTAGGAGTTCGTCAGCCGGGAATTGAACTCCTGACCACGCGGTTGGTTGGTGAGCATTCTAACCCTGAACAACCGATGCACCAATTAAGCACAATGTAATCAGAATTGGACGACAGTCAAGTTAACCACAGTGGTAATAAGGTAGTAGGGGAAAGGAAATTATGCAAATAAGAAACAAAACAACAGAAATAACGCATTTGGTGTTAAGATAGATCAGGTCCGTTGAAGGTTTAATGACTAGACAGCTTGAGAATGACATCGCTGAAAATAGCAACTCTTGACTGAACGCCTTTTGTTTTATGTGACATTTATTTAACCTTCAATTTTGTACTTTAGATATGCAGCAGCACGAATGAAACAATATCATCATATGAAGAAATGGTTAGAGACAACATTTCAGCTACCGATAGACAACACGTAACTTTACTTGAATATTTCGTATAACAAGAAAATACAATTTCCCTGTTTTAAATATATTTTAAAACTAGTAGAAATTCTGTTTGGATATTTGTAAAATAAATATAACAGTTGAAAATTGATGACATTATAGGGATTTGGTAAATTTCAGCGGTGAGATTTATTCCCCATATAACGGGTTCGACAAAAAAGAGAAAAGTGAGTACTGACCAGATCGAAGTAACCTAAACACCCACTACTGCCCTTTCGCCTGTTTGGGAACGATCTTATCAACGGTGTTTAGATTACTACGATTTAGTCAGCAACTACTACTAATGGTTGACGTGAAAGATGTCCAGTTACTCATATCAATTAATCAGTAGTATATAGTATCACGCTAAAAATTATATAGACAAAACGCACAAGTTACCTGTAAATCTGGAACACTGAATTTATCTGTGTAAGATACCGCAATAAATAATGCTTAACAGTAGTGATTAAACACAAGCTTCTAATGATGAGGTATCTAGGATAATTATCACCTAAAAGTAGACCTGTATCAAAATGGAGAATGGGCAAATACTTGGATGGTAAAAACGGACTAGAATATACAAAAACAAAAAGTTATACTGCTTATTAGGAATGCAGAGTTGAACATGGAAGGTGAACCCTCGTAACAGATCAGTTAGCCGGTTAAGAAAAGAACTAACACATATGACGATAATAATGTCCTTATTCCAAGTTATGATTTTTTTTATCGTAGTAATTCTCTTCTCTGGCACTTATCTTTACACAAACGCCATACGCTGAATATGGTGCGGTTGAATTCTTATGATTAGTCCTATAAGCATGAATTCTTCTGAAATTTCTTCCGGTTTTATTTGAAAAGACGCGAGAAGGCAGTCGCGAATAAAAAGTAGGTTTAGCATGAAACGAAATGACTTTAGCCTATTGCTTGCAAGAATTATCAACAACAGTATCAGATACTTGAGTGAAAGCTCCATACATCACTAATTCTGCCTACAGTCATCAAAGTCCTGCGAAATATAAGATAGTCACAACTGTTAGATTTTCACCACGAACCAACATCAATTAAAGAGATCATTGAAAACCAGGGAGCACTGAACAACTGTTTCGTTCTATTTTGGAATTCTTCATCAGTTTGAACCTACGACTTAACCACAGATCGAACCCTGGACCTTCAGGTTACGTGACCAAGCTTGTGACTGTTGAGCATCTTAGGCTGGAATCCAATGACCCCTGAATCCTAATTTCGTCAATTCGTGATACAGCACTGTACTCACCAACGTCTTCAGTGGGCATCCACTTTACCTTAACACGGTGGACCCCACTTTTCACTATATTTAGTCTGTTTTGAGAAGCCTGAGGAAGAACAATAAAGAGGGAATGTATAGAATACATGAATTGTAAGAGAACCGGTTGAGTTATATTAGAAAGTCTCAATTTTCTTATTTAATAAGTCAAACGAAAGATTTTCTGAGAAATCAACGAGATAGAAAATGACCAACAAAGATTTGAAGAGAAACTGATAGTGTGATAGGTAATATTCGATTTATATCCTATTACAAGAAACATGGAAAATCTTGTAGTGTTATTCTGGAAACCTTGTAATTATTTCAAATAATTTCTTCCTCCACTTTTATGTGCGCTTCTTCGAAGGAAAGCACAACTTCAAAATCAGGTAGTCTTCTGTTACTTTCTATACTGATTAGTCAATGATACACACAAAGAATAATTGACATTTTTTGCAGACGACTTCTTCTAATTGACCAAATCATGTTCTTCTATTTAAAGTATCCATAGGAGAATGTGAAGCAACATAAAATCAGATAAACGGATTCTAGATCCAATCACCTAGTCAGATGAAATAATAGCGAACTGACTTCAGTTAGAGGACCATTGAAATCCAGGAAGTACTTGACAGCTCTTTGGGACTCTTCAGCACTACACACTCATGACTGCACCCAGCACGTGTCGAACCCAGGACCTGCAGGTTACAGGGAGAACTTGTATACCGTTCAAACACTGGGATGGAGTCCAGTCACCCATCAGTTCTAACTACTGTCAATTTGTGATATACCGCAACCACCAGCCATTTTTATAGGTGAGCATCTGTTCTCACGCCCAACTTTTTGTGGAGCCCACTGATCACGACTTCTCACCAGAAGTTCAGGAAATTCGTCATTAAAATTGAAATCAGTCAAATCCCTGCAAAACTAACACTTGAAAAATAATATTGAGTAGTCAATTGCTGAATATCTTCAAATATCCTCTTTTAGTTTACTTTTAATGTGCTCTGAAGTTTCAGTGATGGTGATAGGGTTGTTTTCCTACGGTTTTGGGTTGACATAACCAAGCCCGACATTCCCTCTTTTACAAACTTACGACAGACTACTTATACTTCTCATAAGTAGCTCAGAAAGACGACTGAATTCTTAATCATTAATACGTACTTTCCTTTGGAAATTCAAATACGCTTATCAATTTACAGAAATAATACCTCAAATGAACGTTTATATAACTATTACTACAGCAGATGACAGTCGAATGTTCATTGATTAATGCTATGCATCCCAGGGAACAACAAGATATTCACTTAAAATCAGTGATTATTTTCATGTAGACTTTTATGAAATAGGATAAAGAAGACCGAGGATTCATGAGTTCATCGACAAGTAGTATCGATTGTAGAGAATACTTTACACCTGCTTATTTCAAATTATTAGTAAATGACTTTTATTGAAACTTTAACATCTTCTTGGATATCAATCATAAGAGAATGACTGCCCCTAAACTGATTGTTCGATATGTGTAAATTACGAATTTAATTTACAAATTGAGAATTTGACTTATTATATCACAAGTTCGCTCAAGTAGCTAGTCAGAACCAATTAAGCTTTGCAAAGGGTGAGTTAAACTGGCTGCACTGGTGACTGGGGGAGGGGTCGACCCCAAATAACCGAAACGGACGTCCGAGGTCTAGATATCACTTCCATCTGGCTGATTAGCAAGCACTACACGTCGATGTGAGCAGTGTACACAACTAATTGTCCATCTCAATCAATCAGTAGTGTACAGTTTTAAGGTCCTGGATTGTTGTTTAGACTGTTAATGAATAAGCTAACCGTGCTCAAATCACATTTCGGAGAACAAGAATGTATTTACCAACATCACTTATTCATTTCTCCAAAACCAAAGTAAAACAACACAAAAGGCTATAAACAAAAACTTGATTGTAAAAAAGATGAGAATTAAGTATGCATTTTACACTTAAACAAACACTGATGTATGAAGGAACTGAGTTCCACCCCTTCCCACCCACATCATCTACCCAACCGCCTCGCTTTCAAAAATAAACGCTCAAAAACTATATTAGTTTTCCGTAATGTTATGGGCTATCGGTTGGTAGTTTGTATGATTATTTTGGTGGAAGAGTCTTTTACTAGATCAGTGAGTCTTATTAGTTTACAACACGCATTCTTTCTCGTTATATTCAACTACTGTTTATGGATTTCTTTTTTTAGTGGTTTCCCTAGAGTATTTTCTATTCACACGTACTTTTTAGTTTAACTATGGAGTCTGATTTTAAAAACTCTACTTCCACGGAGATAGATTCTTTAGAAACCACTGAAGTCAAATTACCTGGATTTGATCGACATCATCTGGAACTATGGTTGGCTCAACCAGAGCACTACTTCAACCGGGATAGCATCAATTCTAAGACCAACAGATATAGGGACGCGTGTTCTCAGTTACTTTATCAGACTAACAGGAAGCTGCAAGAACTTATACCCGCTGCACCTCAGCAATCTTATGCAGTATGCTGGTGGTGGTGATAAAACGCCTTTCTATGTGAGAGAACCAAAACATACAACGGTTGCTTCTGTGTGTGGGGGCGGGCATCGGAGATACCTTCCCATCACATTTCCTGCGCCACTTGCAACAGCTAGTCAGAGACAACACGATGGAAGAGGCTGTATTAATGCAAGACTGGATGGATGCAAGCCTTCCAGGAGTATGTGCGACAGGCACTGGAAGCTCAAGATCCTGACCTTTGCATAGAACAGTGAGCAAGAAGACGACTCAGAAAAGGTTGGTAGGTGAACCATACGAATACGGGTAACAACCACTTGTGGCCAGCGTTAGATCACTAACGTTAAAGAAAACACCGGCACATAAGGCAACCAAAGTAGATCGTTTGATAGAACATGTTCTAGGTCAAACAGCAAACCCAGACCAATTAAAACAACAGGACAGTTCGTAAAAAAAAGTGTAAACCTTGAATCAAACGACACTTTGGAGAACAACAATGACAGTTAAAAATATTGTGTAATTACCACGACATGATTTATTCATTTCACCAAAATAAAATATAACAAGAAAAGAGACAATAAACAAAAACTCCCAGTCGATACACACACATACAAGTGCAAATTTTCATTGCTTAGTCTTGCATCCTCTTTTACCGTCCCAAAACATTAAGTAATAATAATTTGCAATGTCTATCACAGTTAGCAGATCAAAAGAACAAATTTAGTCGAAATTTGCAGTTATCATATCACAACAAAGACAATAGGCAAAGATAACATTAGAAGCGAAGGCATTACTACAGCAAGAGAAACTGGAATGGTTGAACTCATCACATGTATAGAATAAGGGTGATGAGCATATAAAGAGACATATTGAACTGACAAACAGAAAACATTGTAGGAATGCTTATCAAGCAAAAGACTGATAACCTGTGCGTGTTTGCATGTGTGGTGCATCAGGCATCCGTAATCTGACCATCCTTTTTTGATATTGAATCAGGATTGCCGATCGCACCGAGATCAGCAAATAAATTCATCCAAGCATCCAAATTTGTAGACTGCTAATTTTGTTTATATTGCCAAGAGATAAAGAAAAATACAAATCAAGAAGAGTTCAGTTTTGAAATTTATGATTACTTTTGAGAATTAAAGAAGCTAAAATACATCATGAACCACCTTTTAGGCTACAATATTAAAGTGAACCACGAAGCAATGAATAGTTTTCTTTTCCTTAGTCTTTATTTTATTTATTTATGAAGAAACAAACTTGGTACATTATGCGCACCAACAGATGCACTGTATAAAATCTCATGGTTTGTACGAGGGCTAGGATACTGCGCCAACCCTCTCCCCAAACAGCCTTCGACCTAAAGTCCTATCCACAGGGCAGTACGGTAGCGTTAGGAGTTACGTTCCTATGGCTTAAGTCACCAAACCAGGTTCGTATGCCGTTTGGATTCTGCAGTCCACGTGCACCATAGGTTAGGAATCACGGTTTTCTAGCTCCCCTAGGCACACCAGTCCAATTGTAAACGCAAGAAGTTCAGATTTGGCCTTTCACTTTTGTGAGGAACACACAAGCCGCCTGAAGGCAATGAATAAGACCTACTTGGCAAAGCTACGAACGGGTAGCTACATGAGAGAATTTCGAGAGGAAGGTCAAAGTCTACCCACGCCAATTGGCCGCATTACGTCGTTTATGGAAATCTATGGCTGTATCCACGACCTCAAAGGTTAGAGATTAAAAAACCTAGCATTTAAAAAATACCAGAATCCCGTGAAGTAAGACATCCGACTGCTTTATTTTACGCTATAATATAACTAGCAAACAATACTATTAGTGAGGTATTGGTGAAAGGCGTGGAAATGGATTGTAAGGATGTCAATACATTAGATCAATTTCTTATTGAATAAAAATGAAGTTAGCTTTGAATAAACTCCACTTCTGGGATTATAAACGAAGATAAGAGCGACGGAGTTTCTGATGAAAGTCTCCAAAAAACATTTAACAAACAAAACAACCATCAAGTAAACGTGTTTAGGAAGCACGAAATAAAACACTATAACATTAGATTTGAAGAAGAAATAAATCTATACATGCATCTAGGGAGATTTAAATTATTGGAATAAGCACTCAACTTCGCATAAAAATAAACTCGTCTATGCTGACTGGACAACCCCATTAAACGAAGTCAAACGGAAAGTGTTCTTTACAGCCGACTGATTAAGAAATTTATTCGTCGATTCTGACCTCAGAACTGCTAATCGCTGTCACCTATCATAATGCGAAGGTCGATTAGATAGGTACTACACTAGGACCAATCACCACTAGTGTAGGTCATCCATACGATGTCGCTCATCTGAGGGATAAGTCGTACAGCTGCCCAACAGGAATGCGGCATCACCAGTCTTCATAAAATAAGTGTCGATGATAGCATGCTACATGAAAGAACTGTTCTAAGGAAATCAGTTCTAAAAACAATCGATACAACGACTTGCCAACCTCGGCTTCCTAACGACTGACTTATTACCAGGAGAGCATGTCATCCATCTACAGTACACAGATGACAAAGTCTTCCAGGATAAAGACGCTGACAAAATGACGAGTCTTCTGATTACCTCAAACAGAAGTCATAGTTCAGTCAGAATGCTGTCAAATGTGAGGTGATGCCTGATGCAAGGCTAGTCTGCACTGACTCCCGATTTAAGGATTACAAGTGAAACAGTTAGATGCGTTGAACACCTCACTTATTCGAAAAGTTGTATCACCACCAACCAACAAATACACTAGTAGATGACTAAATCGCACCACTCAAGTAAATCGCTCTTTTGGCTTTTAACGACTCGCACACATCATATCCATCTATCCAAAACATCATTTTTGTGCCCTACACAACTTTGTGCGTCGGTGGCATAGAGGTTAGGATGCTCGCTGACCACGCACATGGTCCGGGGTTCGATCCCCGGCCGACGCACTCCTTTACCTCGCTAAGCCAGAAATAATGCTGGTGAAGAGGAAAGGTTGGGTATGAGGCTAGCAACCTCATCCTGTAAAACAAACACTGCTACAGAAATTTCAAGCCACTAGCTTGAAACCCTATGTTCCACTGGGGAACGTGAAGGAAAAAAAACACAACTTCGAAAACTAATACTCTACTGAAATGTTGGAGATATGAAGACATTAGTCATTTCTCATCACACACATTCGCCTTCAATTAATCTTCTTACATGGTCTAATGCACTTAGTGAAAATGTGGTTATACCTACAATGTTAGTTAGATAAAGAGAGAAAGTCACTGGATAACACTGACGATTTGCATCGATTGACATGGCGAGGACATATTACTCATGCCAGCCATTCACTATTTTTCTCCATCAGAAAAGCTAACTCAACCAAGATCATGTTAGAGTAATGTATGAATAGTCGCAGTCAACCGTCGTATTAACACGTGAAGTCTCTCACGTCTGAAGTCGTATGGATGTTAAACATTAATGGTTAAAGGCTCAAGGAGTTGCGAAATGCACTGCAGATAGGTCTGAGACGAAACAGTTATCCAACAGAACAAACACGATTATGAATGTTCTTCCCTAAACGATATCCATCAGTGACAATGTCAATTTTGAAGTCGGTTAAATTATTTACAAACAACGGAAACTTCAAGTGAGATTAAACTTCTGAGACCAGGTACAAAATGTTTGAAAGGATAACTAAGTTACCTGCTTTGATGGTACTTTTGTAGCATGTGAGCCAGTGGCCGAAGGATTCTCAGCTTCTTTAGGTAGATTTTCAGGCTTATTATTATTATCAACGAAATTTTGACTAACAGTATCCACAGTCGATTTAATTGGCTGGATGACATTCTTGTTGGTAGTATTCATTGGATTTAACAAATCTTGGAATTGTTTATCTAATAAATGCGATGGTAGCATAGGCGTTTTAAAAGTCTCCTAATAAATAATGAGAGGGAAAGAAAAGAAATAATAAATGTGTGCATAGAAGTTACCTACTCACAACATTCATTATTCATTTATGACTAATATGCATTTATTTCATCACAAACTGTTATTGAATGCATACAGATGCATAAATTATAATAAGCATAACAATGTAATAGCAAATAGAATATCAAATAAAATTAAGGAAATTCCCAAAACAAATTGAGGACCATTAAAACCTTGATGATCAGAGTGAGGACAGTGTCTGAACCAACTTCTTTCGCATACATAAGTTAGGTTTCCCAATGTGGATCCCAACGACCTCAGCACTATGTAGTAGACGAACTCTTGAGGTAAAATTAAGCTTAATTGGTATAGGGTGGATGACTTTGAAAACCACTTTGTTGACAACAGTCTTGTGTTCTGTATCCACAAGATGAGACAGGATAGAGCTATGAATGGATTTTGTTTGTCCTTTACTTAACCAAACAGGATGATGTTTCGAAATTCCAGGAGAAACACGCCTAATTCTACGGTTTAAGCAGCTAAGTGGCTCAAAAGGAGCAGTCAAATTGGTAGATACTTATAGAAAAGGCGAAATTAGGCAGTCTATCTTTAACTCCCGAACGCAAAATAGTGGCGGTTTTGAAGACACAATAATTTAGTAGCACTGCGTGCTCTTCGTTTTGCCGCATTCTTCCGACGTTCTATTAATATCTCACTGATGTTATCCTCGAGGAACTATAGTTGTAAGAATAAGGTCTTTGACGGAACTGTTGGTACTTTGGTCTGCCTTGATTTGTGATTCATATTCTTATCGACGAATTTTTCTGGATAACCGTTCTCACTCAGTAACTTTTTAATAATATTAAGCTCTTCATTAAGATATTCATCGGAGAAAATTGCTCTTGCTCTGTGGAACAAGCACTTTATTAGATTAATAACAGCTTACGAAAACGACGGGTATCCACTAAAATCCTGGAGACATCCTAGATGTACAATAGTAAAGAGCCCCCTCCACACAGTCACTCAATACTCACTGGTTCTTAACACCCGCGTCTAACCTATTTCTGTTTATGACTGAATCAATCAAATTCCCATTAACTTATGCATATACTTTTAATCAAATGAATTAACGCAATTTTTTTTGAAACAATATACTGGTAGCCTAGTATATCAGCTGAATATGCCATCAACAATACGCAGTACCCCAAACCTTTATCAACCTCATTCACAACAGCTGTATGATGACACCACATGTCAAGCTATTCACGGCAGAAAACTCATCGATACCGTTGAAGTAAAGACAGTAGTAATGTAACGACAGAAGACAAGGGTCAAGCAACAGATCGTTTGTTGAGGAAATCAAGAGATATTTATAGATTTTTATGTACATTATTATTCGTTATTATTAGCAGAGAAACAGCGTCATCTCTTTGTGGCCAGTTCTTTGAAGGCCAGACCATATATCTGCGAATCGTATCCGCCCACGCAAAGTCTGCTGTTATTGGTTGTTGACTTAGTCTTTGCTCTTGTTTTATTCTCACGACCAAAATATGGAACGCAAACATTGACGTGAATTGCTGTCTACCAATTTTGGCTAGCAGACAGCTCTCACCACGGTAAGACATGGCTACTTACCATCACTGGTGATTTTCCTTATTGTGGTGGACTGCATTATGCTCCAGGCAGTGGGGAGCAAAACGACAAGAATACGTTAGACCTACAAGAAGACTACAGAAGATTTGGACCTCGTGAACTATTCATATCAATGTCACACAAATCCGAAGATCTACCGGTGAAAACCAATACGTTCGTAAAAGAAGCAGTCAAGACGGGACTTCAAGTAATCATCGTTTCAAGGAGATAGTATGAGGAGGAAACGACCGTGTTTATAGACAATCATAGAGCCACCTAAATAGGGCTGCAGAAAACAAAAATAAAACGAATATATACTGTTGAAGTCCTATGTTCCGCTCGGTACCTACAGGAATAATAATAATGCATAGGTTAACAAAATTAATGTTTATGACATATATATGCACATTATAAACAGTAAGATATATTATGCTGTCCTTTGAAATTTCTTACTTTCGACTCGACACTTTGCATAGGCCCAAAATCATCATTTTGACTAGGCTGCCCATCGAATTCTCCAAACACGGCATCCCATTCAGCAGCGAATAATCCACTTTTATTCGTCGAATCAAAAGATGCTTGATTAGTTGACAAAAGGAAGATAAAAACAAAATTATGTATGCATATAGTGTAATTATATTTAAATGAATTAGTACATTGAAATATGTAATGCATTCAAAACATAAAATGAGTGAGGTATCAGGAAACAGAATAGTCACCGACATGCATATCGTGTTCTGAGAACTTGAATGTATGTGGGAAATCTATGATACATATTAGATCATCAAACATATAATAAAGACTTAATATATGACGATGGGTGGGATAGCGAGACGCGTTAGAGGAACAATGACCGACGGTGTTTTGATACTACTGAGATGTATGATACTTACAACAATACTATATAGTGTGAAGTTTTTGGTGAAATTAACAACCATGTATTATACGTAACTGGAAAAGTGGATAGACAGGAACGCACGGAAGAGGGATAAAACTCTGAAGAGAACAAAAATCCTACTCTAAAATTTGATTCAGAACAAAAAAGCTCTCTTTCTTAGATGTTCAGCTCTTGAAGAGATATAATTGATGGACCAATCAAGAGATTATTTCAAAACAAATCAAAATGGAATGGGCAGTTGCTGACTAACTTCTATGGCTTCATCAAATTAAGTAGAAAAACCAACCTCATCAAATCTCTTCTCAAAAGAATATCAGCTGCGTATGCGCGGAAGACACTAAATGGAGAACTGGAGTATTTCCACAACACTAATTCAAAATGGTTATCCACCAGTATTCATCGATAAATATATGAAACGTAAGATGGACAATTCACAAAATACAGAAGTACCAGAGAGAAATTTAGTTGTAAGCCTAAAATTCAAAGATAATACAACAGCAGAAATTCTTCGAAGCAGATTATCGAGAGAGACTTGGAAAAACACTCTTCACTGCATCATTACACGTTTCACCCTCTTCACGCAACCTTTTATTTATCAAAATGTCAAAAACACTGCTCCACTGTTGGAAACATCCATGTGCATATTATCAATTCACTTGATCCTGTGGAACTAAGTACATAGACCATAAGAGTAGGATAGTGTCTAGATGCACGCAAGAAAATCCCCCAAAAGAGTTGTCGAAGATGAAATGGCCAGCAAGAATTAGCAACAAGAAACTCTGAGGGGTGACGAACTAACCAAGAGCCGATTGCTCAATAAATATGTAGGAGAAAGTGGAGATGGGTCGGTCATACATTAAGGAAACCATCGAATGACATCGCGTGCCAGGGACTTCGAGTGGAATCCAAATGAGGAACGACGAGTGGGTCGTCAGTGTGGGGTAACATGGAGGATATCGTGCGAAGAGGAGATGAGAGATTATGGTCAATCGTGGACCCAACTGAAGAGGGTGCAGGAAAATAGAACAAAGTGGAGATGTGTTGGTGAAGCCTTATGTTCTACTCGGAACCCAAGCAAATAATAATAATGGGACATGACAATATGCGGTTATCCAAACCAAGGAGGTTTCCAAGTCCGGTAAGAGGACAGTTACACGCCAATGATATTGACTGGCAGTTAAGTTATATATCGCAAATCAGCAGAAGTTGGAATTCATGGGCCGTTGGATCAGGTCCCGGTGGCTGAATGGTCTACGAGCTCGCCTTGTAACTGGAAAGTTCTGGGTTCGAACCCTGGTGGTGGGTGAACATTGCCGAAGAGTCGCAAACCAAGACGGAACAGCTGTCCAGTACTCCATGTTGGTTTCTCAATGGTTCTCTAGCTGAAGTCATCTTGTGATCAAACCTGTATCCTAAACTTTGCAGATGTGGTGAAACTTAAGTCGAGTGGCTGAAAGTCGGATGCCAATATTAATGAATTACAGCAACAGTTTTACAAAATAACGCTAAGGGGATTATTACTATTAGTGCTATTATTATTATTATTGAATTTATTACTAAGACTTACGAATATCTACTCCAGAGGGCTGTCCCACAAACTTATCATTTTTCGTATCCATAGAAAATAAATCAGAAAACAAATCTCTGTGTTCTGCGGGAACATTTTCATTTGACTCAGATAAGAAATCTACAAATTGAATAGATAAACATAAATTTCAGGTAATATTCACGTCAGTGTAACAACCAACATTCACAGGACACGTATAACCAATTACTCAACAATAATACAACGTAGAATAAAATCAGTGAAATGATAAATACAAAAGAGGATTCATTGATTATAAGGACGGGGGGAAGGAGGAACAATAAAAGACAAGGGTTGATTTTTCATAAACTAGTCATTTCAGTTTGATTTGACACTAGGCAGTAAATAATGTCATGTGCCTAGTCCTTTGTTTGGCGGATACTGCATTCTACCAGTGAAAATATCTTTAGCCGACACTCGTTTGAATCTCAGAAAGGATATGCGTTCCTTCGAGATTGTAGAAGATATGCCCTGTTGACAAATGCCAACAAGCATGAAACCTACGTCCAAGGGTTCCTACCAATTGCCTATAACCACCATCTAGTCATTTTTGGTGTCTACTAAAAAAGGGAGATTTGATCAATCACTTGATTAAAATACGCATTTAACTTTTATTTAGGCAGTTTCTGAATTTAATTTTTTGATACACCCCCTTTAACCTGAATGCGACCACACTATGCAACAAGGTCTTGAACAAACTGAATGTTACTAACAGCCTTGTATATGAAAATGAAATCAGTAATGCCTACATTTTTACTATATATATGAAGTGATGGATCATGATGATACTAAAATCTTAGAGAACCAAAACAAATATATGTATACATATTTCACATTGACTTAAAATATTGAAATCGCTGTTCAATTTTAACATACTTAAAGTGAGATCTAAAAATCAGAGGTTACACGAGGTATCAATATGATAAGAGTGTACAGTTAGCTTCTACGATATGCGCGGCCGACACACCCTTCCATAAGCACGCAAACAAGACTTCCCTGATCATCAATATTGTACAGTTGAAACGTTTTCAACTTATCATACAAAGAATTTATTCCAAACAGTACAATTGATACAATGTGGAATTTTCAGTATACTATCATACAATGATAGAACCACTGACAGGGTATTTATTATAAGTTGGTTCTCAGGAGAACCGAGCATATCTATCCCAGCCTCTTGGGAAATCAGAACAGAATGTAATATCATTCTGTGGCGCATAAGGAAATATGGAATTCCCCCTACACAACAAACATCTACCTGTTGTAAAACATAGCTTATTTGATATATTACGACGATTTTGTTACCCATTAGCCAATATCACCTAGATAACCATTACTAAAAGAAAGTAGAGACAGCTAGTTTTCCTTTTAACAGTATGCATTTTCGACCTCGAAATAAAAAGCCCAAAAACTAACGATATTTTAAAATGAGGACAACAGTGTTTAGTGACTAAACTGAAAGGCAGTTGACTTATAGAGAAAGTGATGAATTTCAAATCTCACTGTATACTGTTCGTCTACAAATTAAAAAGCGTATGAAGAGAGAATTAAGTGAAAACTGAATTTCAGTTATTATGCTTAAAAGTGAGTGATTCAGCGTCGGTGAGTTTAAGGTAGAATACTCGCCAACCATGTCTCACACGTAGTCCAGGGTTTGACCCCCTCCCCGTTGATGCACTCTTAAACTTTGCTTAGTCAGTAGTAAGTCTGGTAAAGAGAGAAGGTTTGACGTGAGAGTGGCAAAGCTACTCTGTAACAAAAGTAAACACCTCTGCCACTGAAAATTCAAAGCTCAAGCTTGAATTTGGATCGCAAAGGAATAAAACAGATAATAACAAGGATTAACACGATGAAATGCTTGAAACCTGGACACATACATATACAAACACGAATACAATAATAACAACACTTAATGATTTACTTTGCGTATATATTTTGAAAAATTCAATGAAACACGTGTGATAAGGTTTGAATAAACTGATATAATGTATTTTTAAGGACAATTTCTTTTCATAGAAAAAAAAAATATCACTCAATTCACTAAGATGCAACTACACAGAAACTCGTTTGAGTCACAACATCAAATAAAAAATGAAAACGATAATCTCTACTGCATAGTATATACATATATATATATATATATATATATATATACTATGCAGAGAGAGAGAGAGAGACACACACACAGAATATACATGCGGAATCATACCAGCAAAGCTTTGTGAAAAATCTAGAAATCCTATAAATTAAAAAAAAAGTTTGGTAGGAACATGAGTGATAGTTAACCTCTTCCACGACAACCTAGGTAAGATCTACACATATATTGTAAAGAATATTAAAAAAGGTTATCTGAAAGAAGGATTAAGTCCTAAGGAAGTCAATGCATAGTGCAGAAGCACAAATTAAACCAATGTATAAAGTCACTGATTCTCGTCACAAGTCAGATACAGATATTTTCATAAGTTTGACAGACAAGTGAAAACCATAGGTGATGAGACACTGAGAACTGTCTGCGTTAACTAAGGTATTACGCAGCGTCTGGGAATCAGAGGAAGTCCCGTCAGGTTGGTGTGAGTCATTGATTATCCTGTGTTAATCACACGGGGATTAGATTGACCAATATTGTATTTTAAGTTCTAGGCATAATAATAATGCGTAGACTAAGTGGTGCTCGAAAGACACAAATACGAGAGAACCAGATTGGCTTTAGAGCAAGAAAAGGGTGTATTGATCATATCTTCACCCTTCGACAGATTCTGGAACATAGGCATACTTGCGGGCGTCCAACAATCGTCATATTTCTTGACCTAAAGGCGGCATTCAACTCCGTCAACCGAGACGTACTATGGCGAAGTTTGGCTGTGAAAAGAATCCCGAGAAAATACATTGCACTGATCAAGGCAGCCAGGTGAGGGCTTAAGGCGAGTCGTTATCTGAAGTGGTAACAACTAGTGGTGTCCGTCAGGGATGCCCACTATCCCTATTTCTGTTCAATTTCATCATAGACGTACTGATGGATCTAACCTAAAGTCTCTACAGAGACTAAAAGGATTGACCTGATACCAGGGAATAATCTCGTTGACTTAGAATATGCAGATGATATAGTCCTTCTAGGTGAAGACGCTGATAAAATAAAGCAGTCTTCTGAAGACCTTGAGAAGCAGCAGTCTTCGAATGTTTAATGTGAGATCTGCTTCTGTCAAATGTAAGGTGATGATGCTACATGACTAGATTGGACTACATAAACTCATTCTTAGCTTAAAGATAGGCAGGAGTGAAATGGTGGCTGAGCCTGTTGACCACTTCACTTATTTAAGGAGTTGCATCAGCCAACGCCAGAGAGCTGATTACTGACGAAATCTCAGTATGGATACATAAGGCTCGTTTGGCGTTTGCCAACTTACGCCATCGCTGGCTTAGTAGACGTGTTATCTGACTGTCGACCAAAGGCCGTGTGTACTGCTTAGTAGTTCTCTCCATCCTCCTTTATGGATATGAGCAAAACATGGACATTGAGAGTGCAACATATGAAAAGGTTGTCTTTGATTATAGATGTCTGCCCCCTATCTACCGCGTTTGTTGAGTGACATAATAGGGTGAGCAATATTGAGGTTAAGCGTTGAGTTCTGGGTAAGGAAAGGAAATCAATTGACGAAGTTGTGAAGTTACACTGATCGAGAGAGATAGCTAGGACATGTGTTACGCGTGTCTAGCCATTGCCTACCTCGACAATGGGCAATGATAGATGACATAGGCTAAGGTTGGAAAAGAGCCAGTGGTGGTCAAACTACAACATGACTTCATCAGCCAATGAAATACGCAACAGTTAGTTTAAGCTGGCCATCTACATAGGGAAGTGTAAACTTCCTGACGGGGATGGTAAAAACCAATGGCTGGAGACAATTGATGGTATGGCTCAAAATCGTTCTCAATGGTGCAGATGCATTCACTCCTTGTGATTCATCATATCCAATAAAACTTTATTGTTTTTTCCATATTACTGTTCTTTTTGCCTCATATTTCTGTTTATTATCTTTCTTTACTCCGTCACCTTGTTTTGTGTACTACATGGTGTGGTGAGTCGAACTGCTGTACATCTGTGCAAAATTCTACTTTGAAACCAGTCAGTTAGTCAAAGGTTCGGAATTTCGGCAATGTAACTTCATTACAAATGCAATATTCACGTGGTCACTGAAATCAGAGGATACAGAAAATGATCTATGATTGAGGCACAGATGGAATTCCTGTGATATTTATTTTAAACTGTTTTTATATTAATTAGTCTTTCATTTCTATCCTCTTTCTTACTATCATATACAAGAGTTCCAAGCTGATCGCATATAATGACTTGAATATCTTGAGTTTTCGACGAAAACCTGCATACTATGGCATTTTAAACAAGCCGGAGCTTTTACATTTTTAAAAGCATCTATTCAAACAAATGTGTAATAGTGCGCGCCTGTGGTTTAGTGGTAGAATACTTGGCAACCATGTGATACATGGTCCGGGCTTCTATCCCAGGCCAACACATTCCTAAACCTCACCTCCGGTAAAGAAGGAAGGTTGGGCTAGCAACTTCACGCCCTGAAAAATAAACACCACTGCTACTGAAAACCCAAATCTCACACTTGAAGCCCTATATTCCACTGGGAAGGCAAATGAATAAAATAATATTTAAAAAAATATAATGCATGATGAGGTTCATTTGCACAGTGGATTTCCACTTTACTGAAATGAAAGGTTATTATCAAATTAGTACACCATAACCCCTACAACTTGGGTTTTTTTTGTTTACTGCCAATCATTAGTCAAATTTATCAGCAACGATTTGGAATCTTATGCTATTCGAAAGATTCCGACTATTACTATTCGGAGACTATTTCTATAGATCAGTCGACAGATAACACAAGACTGATTACCTGTTAAAGTGACATTGACTCGGTTAACACAGTAGAGAATACAGAGGTAGGCTTCAGTTAAAGAATCCCATGCAAATCACACACAAGAATGCATCAATAAGCTGAGATTTTACGTAATGTTTACCAACATTTCTGAAATAGGCCGATCCCAAGATGATCGATCAGATTATGAAATGAATACGTCATTACCTAAACAATCACCTGATACCACCTAGTGAATCATTTTTACCGGCTATTACTAAGGCTAATTATTAGTAGGTTTACATAAAAGCAACAGAAACCGATATGGTGGTCGGCCAGGTATGCATATACCAATGACCCAAAGGACTATTACTGGTCATGCCATCACACATAGGTCAAGTGGGTGGATACATGGTTGACTGAAACCAAGCACTACTACTACACTGTATCAATTACGTGATGTTACCAATATGACGGCAGAGTCTTACTGATGTCCAACAAGGATGCAACATCACCGGTCTTCATACGAAGAGTAAACAAGTTCTAACAACAATGAATATAAAGACTTGTCAACCTCACCATTGCAATGACGAACTTGTTTCCATCGATATACAGTACGATAATGATGTCGTCATCATACATGTTGCCAGTTGAATTGAACTCACAGACAATTTGTTATGTAGCTGTCGCAAATTAGTAGTAATCCCGTCGATATGACCGAGTAAACTTATGTATGGGTACAACAATACTGATGCAATCAATAACTCAACTGATACGCTGAAAACCCCTATTCGTTTCTGATACCTCTGCTTCACTGAGTCATGTGAATATCAAAAGACAAAGACTGGCCGGTGACTGTTAGGATACAATTTTTTTAACACGTCATACTTATATACTTTGTTTAATCACATTAAAATTAGCACAGGGTAGCGAAAATAGAGTGTTCTGATTGGCAGGTGATTCGGCTAGGTCGGTGAAAAATAAATATTCTGATTGGTTGGCGGTGTGATCAAGACCAAGGTGAGAGAAAGATGATGAAATTTTAAAGTCATCATATCACAAGAGAAAACACATGATGAATCATGAGATGATCACTGTTTAAAGTTGATTCCTATTAGATAGTCCTTTAAGATATTGAAACAAACAAAATGACGAGTCTTCTAAACACCTTCAAAGTCTTAGTATAGTCAGAATACCATCAAATCTAGTGACGGACGGATGAAGGACTTAGTCTACACTGACTACTAGTTTAAGGAATACACAAATCCATTAGTTGGATGTGTTGATCACCTCACTTATTTGCGAAGCTGAATCACCACCAACTAACTAATACACTGCTAATTGACTAAATCGCACCACTCAAGTAAATCGCTCCTTTGGCATTTACCGACTTCCACACCTGGTGTCGATCTATCTATCTATCTATCAAGTCGCTTCTCCACTCTACACAACTCCAACTCCTACTTCTCCACACAGTTATCTGACATATCCACTAAGAAGTTAGAAATATGAAAAGATCTGTCTTTCTCACTATAGATGTCCCCGTTTAATTTCTCCTCTTAGATAGTGGAAGCGAATGTGTTACTCCTGTCGGACCATTCACTACTCTCCTCAATCAGCAAAGTTAACTGAGGCAAGATCATGTTAGACTAATGTATGAGCAGTCACAGCTAGCCGCCGCATTAACAACACGTGAAGTCTTTCACACTGTCCGTGTAGATTGACTCCATGAGACCCTCCACGAGCCAAGAATCAATGCTGGCTGACCAACTTCGGTCATGTGGCTTAAAATCATTCGAAATGACACAGATGTATTTACTCCTCATGATCCTCTGCATTCCCAAATTCCTCATTCTATACTTCATGTGATTATTTTTTCTCTGCACATTTTCGTGTATTTGCAGTTTGATTGCATTCCTTTTCTTTACCTTTATGAGTGATTTATGAAATATGACCTTTGAAACTGCTGCACTGTTTGAAAACATGTTGATTCGAGATGTGATTTACTTTGAAATGAATTAAACTTAAACAAAAGTGCTACTATCAACACTGACCAATTGTAGTTCCTATATAATTAGGAGAAGGTTATATAAGCTCAATAAGAAGCCCAATCTTGGATATTGAAATAGGGGCTTTATAGTGATTTCACTCGTATTTCATCGAACCTTAAAAAGCAATGCGAATATATCATGACTTATAGCAATATATATATAAATATAAGTGACCATCGAATCATGTTACTATTGATATTATAAGCAGTAAATAAATGATGAGAGTAAGGACATATATTATCGATTTATTAAAACACAAACTTGGTACATTATGCGCACCAACAGATGCATCACACAAAATTTCATACTTTGTGTGAGGGTTGGGATACTGCTGGGATGCCTAGACCGAAGCACGTGGACGCCTTAAGGGGCAACTCCCACCTCCCTGCGCTAAAGAACCTTTGACTTGAAGTTCCATCCAAAAGGCAGTAGAGCAGCGTTAGTAACTAAATTCCCGTGGTTGACGCTAACCAAAACAGGTCTATACGCCAATCGATCCTTTCAGATTCTGGAGCCCATGTACATCACAGGTTTGGAATCAAGTTTTTTCAGCTCATCTAGGTAGACCTACAAGTACACCAGTCTACTGGTAATCGCTAGATGCTCTCATTAGACTTTTCACTTTTGTAACGAACACTCCCACCGGGTGAAGGCAGTGAATAAGACTTACGCGGTGGAAGAGACTATGAACGCATGGCGACATGCGAGCATTTCGAGAGAGAGAGAGAGAGAGGAATACAGAAAAGTCTACCCCCCCCCCACACACACACACATTGAGTAGTACTACGTTGTTTAAGAGAGCGACAAACAACTGACAATACACCATACATCCTGGTCAGTTAATGAATTCATACCACGAAAATATTGAACTAACACGCAAAGCAATCTTACCAGTACTACCATCTTGATTATCGTTATTTCTAAGATTTAGATTTTTCAACATTTCTTCATCGCTATAAGTGTATCCAGTTGAATTGATGTCTGTAGTATTTTGATTACTACTGCTGGAATTATTTTCACGAAATATTTCATCTAATCGTTTATCTAATTCTTCTTCATTAGCAATTAAATTTATTTCACGGGTTTCATGTTTGTCAGCAGTAGAATTATTGTTATTATTATTGCTACTATTATTACTGTCTTTTGTATCAGTCGTTGATTTGGTTTCATTATCCCGCCTATTAAACAGAATACATAAAATCAGCAATACATACAGATATTAATTAAAACAGTAGTGGTAAACTAATTGATATTATTATTACAGAAAAATAATACAGTCCTCCATAGGTGGATATCACAGAACACACAAAAAGTGATTAGCATATAAAACACCGATGTTAAAATCCCATCACCATTCTCTTTTATCAGCCGATATCTATTGCTTTTTGGCAACTAAGCTACTACTTGACGTGTTCTTTCAACCACTAATCTGAGGATTTGTTGTAAAATCCAGTCTCATAATGACAAATACAGAATTAAACTACAGACGTATTAGTTGAAAGCTAAGGGTATTTAGGCTGAATACCTTAACGACTCAACTTTCATCCATGGGTTTAAATCCTTCATTGCCTTCATCATCAGACAACAAATGTGGCTCACCAAATGGTACAAGTAAAATTCATTCCAGGTAATTGAATTCTAACAAGGCTTAAGAACTATGACTTAACCAGACTGCGAAACATGGTCACCTAGAGATGGAGAACCTCCAGATACTTCAGGCATATGGTAATCATTATCACATCGCGCACTTTCGGCGTAACCACCAAGTTAGAGCAACACAAAAGTTAGGTTTAGAATCTTAGGTAAGATGGATACGTTAATAAGAGCAATTATGTAAATATCGATCATCTAAAGCGATGCAAATCCGTTAAGTATGCCTAATCAACTATCAGTTTCAGTATACTGTTTACATAGACAGATAGTTTGACAACAAGATAAGGATGTTGACAAACATCATGAGAGAAAATCCATAAAGTTATTGACTGACTGTTGATGTGAGTGGGGTATTTAAGTGTAGCTTGCAAGACTGAAGTTCAAATGGCCATAACGACCTATCGGTTAAAGAATCGACGCAACACGGTTCAGAATACACACACTAGTTTATTTGATATTTACACAAAAGACACTTTTAAACTTGATTACAATATCTTATTTTTTTTAAATTGCTTTTACTTTTTTGTAGGGATCTAAAATCTCCAACGAAATTGTAACTATTTGAAAACATACGGAATAATATATTCTCCAGTATTGGTAGTATCGGTTTGTGTCCTGCTTAAATTAAAAATTTCATGAGTGACAAAGTTGTGAACACTACTAGTAGTAGTGAACAACATTCTCTATCAACTTGAATAAACTAATTTTCAAGAATTTTGAACTGTTTTTATCCCTTTGTATTCCGAGTAGAACGTAAGGCTTCAACAAACATGAGCTTTGAAGTTTTAGCAGTGGGGTTATTCTTTCCTTCTTCTTTGCAAGGAGTGTTTCAGCCAGGGATCGAACCCTAGACCACGTATGAGGTGTACTTGGCGAACGTTCTACCGTTGAACCACCGATGCACCTTGAACACTGATTATCCCTACTAATGATTCACCAAGATGATCAGTATTTCTAAAGAACAATATTCATTAGACAAGGCATTCAGCTAGCTAAACTATTCATTTAAACCCAAAAATTCCATATCATAGAACAGTAAAACTAAAATGAAAGGAACTAAGCCACAACATTCGGATCTAAGAAACAGGAAAGAAATAGCTTGACAATCTCAGAGATGATGTAACAGTACAATCAATACCATACTCGGACTTTTAAACCAACCTAACAGTACATACATACATACATAAATTCGTTTGTGGATGGAGAAATTAGCAAATTAAGGCTTTTAACTCCTTATTCCTAGTCGAATTCCCAACACTAACATCAAGTCTGTTTATCTGTACTTTCTTCTATATGTTTCAGACACTTGACACAAGTGTTACCAAAAGCATTTCTCCAAAAACTCCAAAAGACACAAGGAGCTCTGACAGGCAACGGATCAACCAAAAACCTATTGCCCAAAAAAAATAATTCCAAGAAACTGTAGATTGATCGGACACACGTTGAAGAGACCGTTGAGTGAGTGACGCATACTGCTCGAGTGGAACTCGAATGGGAATCAGCGAATTGGGCGTGTCCAAGGGTGACATGGAGATAATGTCAGAAGGAAATGAAGGATTATGGACAATTGCAGAGTCAGAAAATAAGATGAAATGTAGACGTGCTGTTAAAGCCTTATGTTTCCCTCGGAACCAAAGGGAATAATAATAATAATAATGGCTTGTCTGTATAGAAATCAAGATAAAGTTTAGGATCAGGTTAAATTATCATCTGTGCAAGCTGAAAGTAATAATTATCGATCACACGATAGAATGAACAGTGATATAATAAGGTGTGCAAATATAACATATGCGATACACAGTAGTCAATAAGTTAAACAGAAAAACAAAAATACATGACATGCAGAAGTGTAATGTGAATATATACAAACAAAAACCTGTAAAAATAAAATATTTCCTTCACCAAAAGTATTTTAAAGTGTACGGAATTTAAACGAAACAATGAGGTTGTAATTTTGCAGGATAGTTGTGTTTGTGCAAGATAAACCAAGCCTACACACACATACACACCCACACACATTTACCACGTTAATGCCTTTTGTTTTTCCAAACTATCATCACACTTTAAGGCTTCATATCCAATAGGAACGCAAGAATGTACTGATGATAATACACAGGAGGCTTTACAATATCTTGAGCTTTGATTATATATGTGTCCAACACTGTCACTAGAGGATGAGGAGGAAGAAGAAGAATTACATTCATTCCATTCCTCATCCCTTTTCTCTTCATCATTTTCGTCGTTACTAACTTCTTTCAGATTCACAGATTCATCTTTGCTGGGTTTTTTAACAGAAAGCAAAAGAAATTACAAAAGTATTCATTCACATCAAAAGTATACAACATTCTTTGCGGAAACCTGAATATTGAACCGCAATCAGCTGTATATTCACTTGTAACTAACTGACTAACTACACAACATTATGATGTTGAGACTGACGTCGAAAAAAGTCAGCATACTATTCAGTGTTCATGGGATTCGGATTAATTTCAGTTGGTAGATTTGATCATGAGCCAGCATCTCACCAAGGGGCACTGGGTGGCTGTTTCGGCCTAGTTTGGGGAGCATACAGAAGTACATACAAACAACCCCACCAAGGGGTCGAACCCAGCACCTTAAGGTTATCAGATCAGGGCTCGTTGACCATTCCAGCCGTAATTCAATGACTCGAGGATTCTAATTGTTTAACGAAAAGAATATTACGGTTTTGATGTCCTAATATGGAATAATAATAATAAGTCATGTTTTCTATACGACCGATGATGATTCCTCAATTGAAAGATGAAGTACCTAGACTAGACACTTCTAATTGTATCTACGAATTCAATGGAGCTTGTGGAGCGAGTTATATTGGCCGTTGCTCAAGGGACTTGATTTTTCGTGTTCGTTTGGGGAATATCTACCAGTGTGTAAGTGGTCGAATAAGGCTCTTCGGCATCGGAGAGGAACAAACGGACGATTAGTGCCGGTAGATACATCACAAACTATAGTGGCATCTGATAAGAGAATAGGTACGTCCCTGAGCTGTAAGGAAGAGTTTCCGCGACAATTTCGAAGTTCTGCGTCGTCTCTTTGTAACTGAGCAATGCGGTCAAGATTGACGTCTACTGAAGTTTCAAGCTGGTGTATATCCCCTCTGTAAAGAGAATCAGCTACCACGTTTGCGTCCCCTTTGATGTACTGTATGTCAGTTGGAAATTGGGAGATATAGTCTAACTGTCTGGCTTCTCTTGGGGAGTGTTTATCCAGCGAACTGGTGAAAGCATAGCACAGAGGTTTGTGGTCAGTAAAAGTAGTGAAATGCCGACCATGTAGTAAGTAACTGAAGTGCTTGACTGCTAGGTATATAGCCAAAAATTCTCTCCCAAAAGTACTGTAACGTGTTTGAGCCGGTTCTAACTTCTTCGAAAAGAAAGCAAGTGGGGTAACGTCACAATTAATCTTCTGCTGTAACACCGCACCCACAGCTACTTGGGAGGCATCTGTGCACAAGATAAGGGATGCTTCGGGGTTGATGTAGGACAGCATAAAAACCTTGGATAAAGCTTACTTAGCGTTAACAAATGCTTCTTTCGCTTGTTTCGACAGTTGAAACTTTTTTGGATCACCTTTGAGAAGATCGGTTAGAGGTTGTACAATGGAGGCACATGAAGGTATAAAACGTCGATAGAAGTTAAACATCCCCAAAAAACGTCTGACCTTCTTGAGTGAATCTGGTTCGGGGAAATTTTCGATGGTCTCTATCTTTTCCTCCATAGGCCTAATACCATTTTCGGTTATGTGGTGCCCTAGAAACTGTATAGAGGAGACACCGAATATGCACTTTTTGGGGTTAATGGCGACGCCATATTGCTCGAATCGCTGAAATAAGATGGTGAGGTGATCTGTATGTTCTTCAACCGAAGAGCTAGCAATTAAGACGTCATCGATGTATACAAATACGAAATCTAAACCTTGTGTGACCTGATCCATGAAACGTTGGAAGGATTGTGCGGCGTTCTTTAGACCAAACGGCATGCGCAGAAATTCGAACAAACCAAAAGGTGTGATGATGGCTGTTTTTTCGATATCTTCTGGGGCAACTGGTATTTGATGATAGGCTCTGACCAAGTCTACTTTAGAAAAAATTGTTTTTCCATGTAATGTCAGAGAGAAATCATGTAGGTGGGGAATCGGATAACGGTCTGGAACTGTGGCGTTGTTTAAATGGCGATAATCCCCACATGGCTTCCAGTCATGTTCAGCTTTAGGCACCATGTGTAAGGGTGAAGACCGAGGGCTATTGGAAGGTCTGATGATGCCGAGCTGCATCATGTGTTCGAATTCTGCCTTGGCTGCTGCTAATTTGTCGGGAGGTAATCTACGGGGACGAGCTCGAACCGGTTGACCCGTGGTAACGATTTTGTTAGTGACTGTATGGGGTACGTCCTCGATGTTATACGACGGTTTAAGTATTCTAGGGAAACGATGAAGTAGGGAGGAAAAAGTACAATCCGTTGGTCTCTCGATGCAGATATTGTAGACG